ACTTGGAACTGTTCACATGCATTAATACTAAATAGGTAATCCCACCGGCTCTGGCCGACGTTTTTTCTGATATTTTATTCGGTTACAATCACTATTAATACAGTAGACAAATTAAATTAATTTCCAAACAATAAATATGTTCATATTAATATGATCACTTTCAATAAAAAATAGGGACCAAAGAGAAGAAACCCACTCAGGCCAAAGCTGTGGCCAAGAAAAAGTAAAAAGACCCAAAAGGATAAAGATAGAGACAATATTCTTTAGGGCTTTAGGTGATGGATGGTCTACAAACACTTACGAGTCGAGGCAAACAAAACAAAAGTCTTTTGAACATAAATCAAATTTTTAATCTTTAAATTTCAGTATATGAATATTAATTTGTTGAAAATCCTAACTGAAATAAACGAGAGATCGATCCAAAACGTAAATCAGGAAAGTAATAAAAAATTAAGGTGAAGATAAAAAAAGTGAAGTTGTGGCACAGACTATAGTGTAATCTTTCGCACGGTGGCATCTCAATCAGAAAAGTCACATCAAACTTTTAAAGGGAGACATGTGGATCCCACACTTCGACCTTTACAATTTCAAGAAATAATACTTCTAACAATTTATATACATAAAGATGTGACAAAGCAAACAAATTATTTACATGTTTTTTTTTTTTTTTTGAGAAACAAATTTTTTTTACATGTTATTAATATAGAGTGATTTTGCTTAATAACCAAAACAACAAATATAATATAATATCTAATCATTTGGTTAGAGAGAGATAGGAAAAATTAAAGAGAAAAAAATGTGGATTTTAGTTAGATTTTATATTATTGTTTTTTATGGTTATTTATGCCAATTTCCTATTAGTATATAGTTATACTACTAGCTAGTCTAAATCATTTGCGTATGCAAGAAAAAAGTTTGTGTATGAAAAATCAAATCTACTAACAACTTCATTAATTTCAGTTTTTGAAAACAACTTCATTAATATGCAATATATTGCATATTTATAATTTTTAAGCTTAGACATGCTCATGTGTTTAATCTCTTGACTACTCACGTGCAGAAGCAAGCGATCCCACATATTTTTACTTTTGTTTTTGCCGACGTTTTTTTTAACATATTTTGTTATCTTGTGGTTTTGTGATTTATATTTGGAGATATGAATGAGAACGCAAGTAAAGTGAATACTTGCAAACACAAGAACACAAAATTTTGTGAAATTTTAGTCCACCTAGTTTTATACATACATCTTCTACTGTTAGAATTCTCTGTGCATCTTATTCGAATAAATTTTTGAATTTAGACTCTCTCATATTTTCCTTCATTTTGCGTATTTTGTTTGTTGGTTAGTTTTTGTTTCTATTAGTTACATGTCAATGTCGTATTCAATCATGGGGTATATAAAAAATTAAAATTGCTGGTGCAGCTTAATTAGAATCGACTGGCCAACTTTAGAGTACTCGAAATAAAATGTGGTTAATTATTTCGATTAATTAGAAAGATTGATCTTTAAGTACGCGAAAAGAAAACTAATAACTATATATAACAAAATTTAGTTGGCAAAATGGAGTAATATGAGTTTAAATCATATAAATAATGTTTTTTCCAAACTGTATATATACATTTTGTTATGTTCTGCTTTGTTCACATATATAAAGACATCAAAGAAAATGATTTATAGATTGCAAAATAAAATATCATGATACATATATTAGCTTAATTAAGAAGTACGTTAGAGCCTTGGAGGTATGTGTCATTTTCGCCTTGCGGTGTAATAAATTAGGGTGTAGATAGTTTGTTCAGCATTAGGTTTATTAGTTTTGCATGTTAGGTGAGTCGTAATTATGAAGTGATCATCATCTAAGTCATTAAACGCATCATCAACAAATATGTATTAACAATATCAGTCACTAAATCTGTTCATTTTATTACTATCATAAATCAAGGATACAACAAAAAAAAGAAAGATTCAATAAGTATTTTAGAGCTTTATAGAATCCCAATCTTTGACAAAAAAAAAAGAATCCCAATCAAAACAATTAAGCTCTGTACTATTACCTATGGGACGACAAGGGCCTAGCTAAAAAATCTTCCAAACACATAATCTGCATATTCCAATTTTACTCTTTGGACTATCATCTCTATCTCTAAATATAGCAAACGTCGCTTGATGCCCAGGCCAATTAAAAGTATAAATATATTTTGTCGTTTTTACGTAAATTAACATGAAATCTGAAATTAAAACTCTCATAAATGTGGAGAACTTAATTGTAACCCGAAATCTTTCTCTTTGTTTCCGCAACGCACGAGCATTGGTCCTTTTGAGTTGTTAAGTTCGTTAATGATCACAAAATGTTTAGGTGCAAACGGTAATAATCCATCAGAATGATTTTCAAAAGATGAAAAGGTTTTGAGGATAATAAGAAATGAGAATAGCACGAAAATAAAATGGTTAGTTTTTGAGGAAACCATTGATATGAGTTTTAAAAGATGTTTGCTAAATAAATGTTTGGAAAGTAGTATTTATAGATGAAAAATTGATTTATCATTTAATTAGTCTTTTTTAGAGGGTGATCTATAGGTTATATACTTAAATCTATGGACTTAATTATAATAAATAAATGTTTAAAATCTAAACATGTCCACTGGTAATTAGTAAATTACTATCATCCTAGATAAAATATATTATATTGAAAATGAAAATGGTAAGATCTGTCAAATCGTCTTTTATAATATAGTTATAATTTTTGTTTTTTTTTGTCATTTGATAACATTTAGTTAAGGTTTGTTTTTCTTCTTGAATTATGTCTCTGAGAAATCTCGAGTTGGCCCCGGGGGGGGGGGGGMGTGTGTTTATAAAGATTTTTTTTTATCTTTTTGATTGATTTCGTAATTTCTCTATAAGCTATGGATCTAATATGCAATACTCAAAAACTATTGGGGCTAAATGTAACGAATCTTTTACCTAAGAATCGTTTCAAGTTTCAACATCTCTTGAAATCGATTCGCCGTTCTTCCATCCTCCGACCACCGTCTACATTTGGCTGCAAAACATGAGGTATCTGATCGATTTCTTTATAGATTTATTGAAAACCTGATTCGATTTAGTGTATGTTTGCTTAAATCCACTCAAAATTTTGGCTTGATTTGTGTTCTTAGATTATAAAGGTGTGATCTTTTAGTTAGTTTACGAATGGGTCTTTTAGTGTTTTAGAGTTACTCTCACTGAATTTTAGGTTTACTTGTGACATTCAAAATTGAAAATCTTTGTGCTAGAATCTTCTCTTTTGGTTGTGCTTTCTGATGGGTTTCTTGTGTGATTGATTGTTGCACAATGTCTCTACTGAGTAATGAGTATAATAAAAACCCTTGTTTTTCAACTTGTTGTGCAGTCGTAACCCGGAGGTTCTTTGGGCTCAACGATCTGATAAGGTTTATCTAACCGTCGCTTTACTTGATGCAAAAGACATGTCAGTCAAATGTGAGCCTCAGGGTCTCTTTAGTTTCTCTGCTCTTGGTCTCCAAATCAAGCGCTTTGAATTCAGCTTAGAGTTCTGTGGCAAGATTGTGCGTTTGAACTGTAACCGATATGTAAAAAAGTTGTTACCTTTGATAGTTTGTGACATCTTTCAGAGTTTTCAGAACAATTTTACAAATATGACTAGAGGCATGCTTATTTTTTTTGCATGTTAGGTTATGAAGTGATCATCATCAAAGTTATTAACCGCATCATTAACAGATACTATGTATTTACAATATCAGTCACCAAATCTGTTCATTTTAGTACGATCATAAATCAAGGATACAAAAAAAAAATAAAAAATGCAATAAGTATTTTAGACCCGCTTTGTAGAATCCCAATAAAAACAATCAAGCCCTGTAGTATTACGGTTAACACGACAAGGGCCTAGCTTATAAACCCTCCAAATACATTCTCTGCATATTCCAATTTTACTCCCTGTAGTATCATCTCTATCTACTCTAAATATAGCAAACGTCGCTTGATGTTCAGGCCAACTAAAAGTACAAATATATTTTGTCGTTTTACGGAAATTGACATGAAATCTGAAATCAAAATATTCATAAATGTGGAGAACTCGTAACCCCACATCTTTCTCTTTGTTTCTGCAATGCACGGACAATGTGTCTTTTGTCTCAAGATCGTTAATGATCACAACATGTTTAGGTGCAAACGGAAATAATCCATTTGAATGATTTTCAAAAGATGATAAGGTTTTGATGATAACAAGGAATGAGAAGAGCACGAAAATGAAATGGTTAGTTTTTGAAGAAACCATTGATATGAGTTTAAAAGATGTTTGCTAAATAAATGTTTGGACAGTAGTATTTATAGACAAAAATTTAATTTATCATTTAATTAGTCTTTTTTTAGAGGATGATCTATAGGTTACTTATATCTATGGACTTAATTATAATAAATAAATGTTTAAAATCTAAACATATCCATTAGTAATTAGTAAATTACTACCATCCTAGATAAAATATACTAGTATATTGTTCTTTTAATTAATTATGATCATTGAAAAATGAAAATGGTAAGATTTTTGTGAAAACGTCTTTTATAATATAGTTATAATTATTTTTATTTCTTTGTCATTTGATTTAGTTAAAGTTAAATAGAAGTAATTAAATTGTAGTATTTGATAACATTTAATTAAGGTTTTTTTTCTTGTTGAATTATGTCTTTGAGGAAATCCCGAGTTGGCCAATTGGGTGTGTTTATAAAACCTTTTTGTCTTTTTGATTGATTTCGTAATTTCTCTATAAGTTATGGATCTAATATGCAATACTAAAAAGGTATTGGGGCTAAATGTAACGAATCTTTTACCTAAGAATCGTTTCAAGTTTCAACTTCGAGCTTCACTCGTTTCTCTTCGCCGTTCTTCTATCCTCCGACCACCGTCAACACTGCAAAACATGAGGTAACCGTTCGATTTCCTTACAGATTTATCGAAAGACCCGAAGAAGATAAACCTGATTCGATTTAGTGTTTGTTTGCTTAATTCCACACAAAATTTTGGCTTGATTTGCGTTCTTAGATTATAAAGGGGTGATCTTTAAGTTAGTTTACTAATGGGTCTTTTAGTGTTTTTGAGTTACTCTCACTGAATTTTAGGTTTACTTGTGACATTCCAAATTGAAAATCTTTGTGCTAGAATCTTCTCTTTTGGTTGTGATTTTTGATGGGTTTCTTGTGTGATTGATTGTTGCACAATGTCTACTGAGTAACCGTTGTTTTCAACTTGTGCTGCAGTCGTAACCCGGAGGTTCTTTGGGCTCAGAGATCTGATAAGGTTTATCTAACCGTCGCTTTACCTGATGCAAAAGACATTTCAGTTAAATGTGACCCTCAGGGTCTCTTTAGTTTCTCTGCTCTTGGTTCCCAAAGCAAGCGCTTTGAATTCACCTTGGAGTTCTATGGGAAGATTGTGCCAGTAAGTGTTATTCCGCATATGAACTGTAACCGATATGTAAAAAAAGTTGTTACCTTCGATAGTTTATCACATCTTTAGAGTTAGATATGATGTTTGAAAGACAGTCTTTATGTTGAGTAGAGGCATACTCTCTAGGTGTAGAGATTCTTTCTATAGTATCTATCTACTTCTACTTCTTTTAACAGATGTCTTTATGTTGTGTGATATGTATGATGCAGGAATATCGAAAGAATGTTGGGCTAAGGAACATCATATTTTCAATTCAGAAAGAAGAGAGAAGCTGGTGGCCACGACTTCTGAAATCGGAAGAGAAACCTGCGCCTTACATAAAAGTCGACTGGAATAAATGGTGTGATGAGGATGAGGAAATTGATTGTAAGTCGTAAGATCTCATTTCAAAAGCCAAAGTAGTTCTCTTGTTCCTTACATGCTTAAGTGAGGTCGTAGTTTTGTCTAATTTCGTTTGAAAAAGGCGTAGAAAATCTCAAGTATTCTGATCTCCTTGATGATAAATTGTTTCTAACAATAGACTCTGTTTTTGCTTTCTTTCAGCTGAGACAGCCTCCGATGACGAGACTGCAGTAAGTGCTTTCTCATAATAATTGCTTATTTCTTTCGATCGCAGTTTAGTAAAACCGCTCTGTTTGATTATTTTCCGTCTTTGTTATCATAGATTGTTGATGAGGAATGTGAAAGCAGCGATGACGACGGATTGCTATGTAAGTTTCAACGATCTTAATCATTTTTGATTGATTGATTATTGTGATGAAGATCTTACACATAATGTTTTGTTTGATCAGATCTTCCAGATTTGGAAAAGGCAAGAAGCAAGTAGCTAACCAGACAACAACCAACCAACTCTGTTTCAGAAACTGAAGAGAATGTAAGAGACTAAGAACTGAAACAGAGTGGGTTTGGTATGATCCGGTTTGTTTTTCCAAGAGTAGTAGTAACTAGTAAGTAATGTACCAGTCGATAAAAAAAAACATATTTTCAGTCAATTGGTCAATCATTTGGTGACTAATGAAAAACTCTAATCGAACATACTATGCGGTTACTATATCCGATCTCAATATATGTATATGATAGAATTTAACAAGATTTTGATAAAAAGTATTAGTTAACTTGAGACTAAAAGCGAGACTTGAGATAAATCAGTCAAGGTAAAACATTATTGTAATTAAAAAGCTATGATTAAACCATTACAATCTACTTGTGCATATATACTAGCTAGTGTCAAACATTAATTAGTCCTCTTTCCTAGTACTTTCAATTAACAAAGTGACTCAAGGCTTCTAAGTGTATAACTCAAGACTTCTAAATGTTGATCGTAAGTGGCACTGTCATTTACAGAGTAAAAAAGTTGTATGGATGAGGTGGGAGAACTCTTTGACTTCATAGGCTAGACGAATTAAGCATATTCTGTTACGTTAACGTCGTCGGGCTCATACCAAATTAGGAGAGAAGTAAAGAGCCAATGTGACACCCGGAGATCTTGGGATCAAATCACAAAATATGCGATTTATTAATATATTTTCAGATTAATAGAAAAAATATTACATGGGATTTTCAATGTGTGGTAAGATAAAC